GACCGCCGCCGTGACGGCCGCGACGACAATCTACGGTGCTGGCATCCACAGCTCCGCCGCGATGACGGCAGCAACGACGATCTATGGTGCCGGCATCCACAGCTCCGCCGCGGTGACGGCCGCAACGACGATGTATGCGGCTGGCGTAGCATCGTCGGCGTCCCTGACCGTGAGTGCGGGGTCGCTCACTGCTTCGTCGGGCACGCTGACTGTCGCCGGTATGAGCAGCGCCCAGGCCATCACGGGGACGACGACCTTGTACGCAGCCGGCATGGAAAGCACCGCCGCCGTGACGGCCGCGACGACAATCTACGGTGCCGGCATCCACAGCTCCGCCGCGATGACGGCAGCAACGACGATCTATGGTGCCGGCATCCACAGCTCCGCCGCGGTGACGGCCGCAACGACGATGTATGCGGCTGGCGTAGCATCGTCGGCGTCCCTGACCGTGAGTGCGGGGTCGCTCACTGCTTCGTCGGGCACGCTGACTGTCGCCGGTATGAGCAGCGCCCAGGCCATCACGGGGACGACGACCTTGTACGCAGCCGGCATGGAAAGCACCGCCGCCGTGACGGCCGCGACGACAATCTACGGTGCCGGCATCCACAGCTCCGCCGCGATGACGGCAGCAACGACGATCTATGGTGCCGGCATCCACAGCTCCGCCGCGGTGACGGCCGCAACGACGATGTATGCGGCTGGCGTAGCATCGTCGGCGTCCCTGACCGTGAGTGCGGGGTCGCTCACTGCTTCGTCGGGCACGCTGACTGTCGCCGGTATGAGCAGCGCCCAGGCCATCACGGGGACGACGACCTTGTACGCAGCCGGCATGGAAAGCACCGCCGCCGTGACGGCCGCGACGACAATCTACGGTGCCGGCATCCACAGCTCCGCCGCGATGACGGCAGCAACGACGATCTATGGTGCCGGCATCCACAGCTCCGCCGCGGTGACGGCCGCAACGACGATGTATGCGGCTGGCGTAGCATCGTCGGCGTCCCTGACCGTGAGTGCGGGGTCGCTCACTGCTTCGTCGGGCACGCTGACTGTCGCCGGTATGAGCAGCGCCCAGGCCATCACGGGGACGACGACCTTGTACGCAGCCGGCATGGAAAGCACCGCCGCCGTGACGGCCGCGACGACAATCTACGGTGCTGGCATCCACGGCTCAGCGGCTGTAACTGCCACAACCACCCTATTCGCTGCTGGGATTGAGAGCACGGCTGCAATCACGGCTGCAACTTCGCTACATGCGGGTAGTGTGACAAGCAGTGGAGCGATATCTGCTACGAGCTACTCGACGACGTCCGATGTGCGCTATAAAACCAATGTTACTTCGTTAGAAGACAGGGCTCATCAGCTACTTGAACTCAGGGGCGTCAGCTTTCGCTGGCGCAACGAAGCTCGCTTCGACAACAACACTCATTTTGGATTTATAGCCCAGGATGTCGAAAATGTATTTCCTGAAATTGTTCGGGGGAATGATGAAGGGATGCGCTCGTTGCAGGTAGATGCTGTCGGGCCGTTGTTAGTTGAGGCTTTTAGGATTCTACAACAACGAGTCGTCGATTTGGAAGAGGACCTGAAGTCAATAAGCTGTGTTTTGAATGATTTCACCATGGAAAGACTGCAGGCAAAGTCTAGCTCTCGAAGCAAATCTCAACAGGGCTCAATTGAACTTCTCCATGGGTAGTGTCTCACGTGGTTTGTTCCATAGTTCCAACTTGGATATTGAACTTCATGCATATTATGTGTTTGTTTTGTCTTCTTGGTTCTTCTTCCATATGGATTAGTGCAGCTCAGACCCGAAGCTTTTGAATTATAGCGGCTTTTTTTATGCCGATGGAAGTTTTCAAGGCCGTACTCTGCTTTGGCCTTATCCCAACTGAAAGGACGGCGACTCGCTGTATGCTCTATTTTGCATGGTCATGCCAGGGAGCGTAGTCTGGCCAGTTTGTCTCGTGCTGCTTCAGTAGTATTCAATTTTAGCTAGCGGCCTAACGTGGGGTACTTGACATGCGCTGGTCCCCCGGCCCAGTTTTCATGTGAAGTTCGACGGTCAGGGCGTGTTGTATTGCGTGGGCGACTCGGACGCCTCTACGGGTGCCGGAAACCCACCTCAGCTGTTTTGAGGTTAGATTTCCCACCAAAGCTCAATCGTGGGAAGCGTGGATTCCGTCGAGAGCGGTCCGAGCGAACCTACCCTCCACCCCGCCGAGATGGATTTTGGCGCCGAAATCGCCGCGAGGCAAGGGCGGCTTTGCACCCAAGAGGCATGCACAAAACCACAGCCACTGTCGTGGTGATGTAAGGTGGGCGCTCTGAGTAGGGGGTCAGGTGGTGGTGGCGGTGGTGGCACTGCCGCCGGTCCTGAGGCTGAGCCTGAGGGGCAACACCGTCCAAACGCAATCTTATTGTCCGGGAAACTTCGGGGTAAGGTACACCGGGGTAAGGTTTCCTGGCCACCCGATTTTTCGTGCGGCACTTTTGTTTCACCATGTTTTACCATTATTATCAGCGGGCCTCACATATTAAAACTTCACGCACGAAAAATCGCCGGGTCCCGGGAATTCCCCGGGGAGCAATTCGGACACTGTTCCATCCCCGCGCCGGTGCACGGGTTCGCGGGGCTGGGGCAGGGCAGCAATCCACACACAAGTAGCGACATAAAGGGCATGAAAGCCATTTTGCAAGCCTATAACTCCTCCTTGTAACGAGACGATGCTGGGGTGACAACGAACGATTCCCGGTGCTGCATATGCTCAAAATACAGCCAGAAGCCGTCGGGGGGGCTGAACGCGCGCCATCCTAGCCCCTAAACCTCCTGTTTGAGGCGCCACGCAATCGCCCGGCGTTCGTTAGGTTTCGCCGGCGGATGCTCCGCGCCCATGCGGTCCACAAAGCCACTATGATCGTTGCGCTTCGCTGCATTTTCGCGGAGCTGCGGGCCTGAGAAGACGAGAGAACCATTGCAGCCCGAGGTTGTGATCGAGAACAGCGCGAGCAAAAGTAAGCGTTAAAGGCTTAGTTCAACGACGTGTTAGTATCTCAAGATCGGCGGTGGCGCTTTCGAGTTAGGAAGGCCGAGACTCGGCTAGCCCCCCCCCGCCTGGAAAGCCGCAGATACGCGTACCTGGCAGTGGGGTTCGAGCCCGCAGGGCTCTGCCCCGCTGTGCGACTTTGTCTTCCAGCGCCGCGAGTCTTTGCCGGTCCTTGAACTCGGCGTCCATGAGGTCGGTCTCAGTCCTCTCCCTCTTTCGCTTGGCGACGCGGTCCTTATATGATTGCTTGATGGAGAAAAACATGGGCCCGAGCTCGGCGAGCCACTCACCGTCGACAGCCGTTGTGCATTTCATGTACTCCCTCGAGGTCATGACGAGCTCGTGGTAGATGACATGATCGGGCGTGTAGCCGAGGCCGAAGAGCGACGAGGAGGGGTGCAGGTTGCAAGGAATGGCGGACAGCATGTTAACGTACTCCCCGACACCCTTGAGGCGCGCAGCATTGAAGAAATACGCGGAGCAGATGGCCTTGCGGACGACGTCCCAGCTGTCGGGGCCGCAGGACTCGTGGGGCACGCGCTGGGCCTCCATGAGGTCGAGGAGCTGGGCGGCGACCTCGCGCGCCTTGGCAAGGGCCTTGTGCACGACGAAGTGCCGGTCGCACCAGCGCGCGTCGTAGCCGGCGGCGCGCCACGCAGCGTAGACGTTGAGGAGCGTGAGATGGTCGCTCTCGGGGACGAAGAACTTCTCACGTGCGGCATCGCTCTCCTCCTCGCGGTCCTTGGGCCGGAAGAAGACATTTGGGACGCTGAGGCATGCGACAATCGCGAGGACCTCGGCGCCACACGCGAGCCCGGCTGCGAAGAGAAGCATCTTGGCAAGGGGCGGGTCGAGGGGAAACTCGACCATACGTGCGCCGAGGTCGCTGAGCCCGCCACCATTGTCGAGGGCGCCAAGGACCCAGAGCTGGTACATGGAGTTTAAGATGTTCTCCTGCGGTGGTGGGTCCATGAACGCGAAGTCGAGGAGGTCGTCGACGCCGAGCGACTTGAGGAGGAGGACGACATTGCCGAGGTTCGTGCGCTGGATCTCTGGGACCTGGGTCGCGAGGAGTTCGTCACGGAATTGGCGCTCGGTGTAGAGGCGGTAGCAGAAGCCGGGGCCCGTGCGGCCTGCGCGGCCGGCGCGCTGCGCTGCGTTCGCGCGGCTCACGGGCGCGACCTGGAGGGCGTCCATACCGACGCGGGGGTTGTAGACCTTGAGTTTGCAGTAACCCGCGTCGACGACGTACTTGACACCGTCGACGGTTAGCGACGTCTCGGCGACATTTGTCGACACGACACACTTGCGGACGCCCCCGGCGGCCGCGTCGAAAATGCGGGCCTGGAGGTCTGCGGGGAGCTGGCTGTACATAGGGAGGAGGAGAAGGGGCGGCACACCGTCGCCGAGCGCCGCGCAGCGCTCCGCGAGCGCGCCGCACGTCGACTCGACGTCCTCCTGGCCCGTCATGAAGACGAGAATGTCGCCCGGCGGGTAGCTTAGGTGGATGGCGAGGGCCTGCTTGACGGCGCCATCGACGTAGTCCTCGCAGGGGGACTTGGCGAAGTACTTCTCCACGGGGAAGGTTCGGCCTGGGATGGCGAAGACAGGAGCGGCGCCACCGAAGAACGCCGCGAACGCGTCCGCGTCGAGCGTCGCGGACGTGACAACGAGCTTCAGGTCCCGGCGCCGCCGGAGCACGTCGCGCAGGATACCGAAGAGAACGTCCGTGTGGAGGCTACGCTCGTGTGCCTCGTCCATGACGACGACAGCGTAGCCGTCGAGGTCGGGCTCGCGGAGCGACTCGCGGAGGAGGACGCCGTCCGTCATGTATTTGATCACCGTCCGCTCGCTCGTCACGTCCTCGAAACGAATTGCGTAGCCGACCTCCTCGCCGACGTCGCAGCCAACCTCCGCCGCTACGCGTGCCGCGACGCTCATTGCCGCGACGCGCCGCGGCTGCGTGCAGCCAATGCGCCCGCCTGCGCCAAGCCCGTCCTCGCGAAGGTACTGCGTCAGCTGCGTCGTCTTCCCAGACCCCGTCTCGCCGACGATGATCACGACCTGGTTGTCACGGACGACCGTGAGCAGCGCATCCCGGACGCCGCGTACGGGAAGGCTCCGCCGCTGCTCCAAGATCGACCTCGAGGACGTGAACTCAGATGCGCCAGGCCGCTGCCCAGGCTCCGCCCCTCCCGCTCGGGCACCCCGGAACGAGCCGTACGCACGGTGGTCGTACTCCGCGTCGGCGCGCGCCGCGCGGCGCTCGCGCGCATCGCGTGAAAGCTCCCCGGGGGCCGCCGCCATGCTGACGCCGCGTCCCTGATCGCCGCCCTTGAGCGCATCGCCCATGCGGCTCCCGCCGAGCTCCCAGAAGCGGTGTCGCATCTTGCTCCGCTCGCGCGTCTGTCGCATGGACCGGAGGAGCGCCTGCGGCGCGGGGGGGCGAGGCGTCGGGCCGCGCGACGCCGCGTGGGCGGCGCCCGGACGGCGGGGCGCGCTGAGCCGTTCCTCGCGTTCGTGGCCATATCCGACGTCGCGTCTCGGACCGTCGGCACCATGTCTTGCTGCGTCGTAAAGGCGACGCGACCGTCGAGGAATGGCGGGCGCAGCTGGTGCACGAGGAGCGTGCAGCGCGCCTCGGCCTCGTCGTCGAAGTCGAGCTCGACCTCGCGCTCGCTCGCGACGCCCGACGTGAGCAGCCGATTCTCTTCCCACGCGGCCTGATCCGCGTGGAGCTGCGACCGCCGCGCTGATAGGCCCGCGACCTTGCCTTGCCCAGCGGGCGTGGCCGCGCCACCGGCTGCCGCCGCGGGCGCGCTGCCCGCGTGGCGTTCGCCCTTGGCCCTCTGCCGCGCCATTGCCGCCTCTCGCGCCTCCCAGACCGCCTCATTCCCGACGAAAGGCGCCTCACCGTCACCCGCAGTACCACCACCAGCCTCAAGGCCGTCGTCGTAGTAGCGCCGATCAAAGTCTTCGTCCACGCCCCGGCGCGCGGCTGCGCGCGGCGTCGCCGCAGCCCACTCTTCCTCACCGTCCTCCTCGCCCGACGACGACGACGCGGCGCCGCTATCGCGGGGGGACGCGCCACCGGCGGAGGTCTCGCACCGCGTCGTGGGCTCGTCTCGCCAGCTCGGCGTCCACACCCGGAAGCCGACGCGCGCCGCCGCCACCGTACTCGACGTCGACGGCGCCGACCCCGGCGTGCCGCCTCGGTTCCAAAAGTGCTCGCTCGCCGTCGTCTTCGAGCTGTCGAGGCGCACGGGCCGGTCCCACGCGTCCCGGTCGACGCCGATGCCCGACCGCTCGGGGCGCGCCGCGCCGCCACCGCCATGCGTAGATGCGTCCGACGACGCGGGGTCTTCTTTCGCGGAGTCCGGGTGCACCCCAGCGCGCTCCGCGCGCTTCCACGCCGCGAGATCCTCGAGGCCGAGCGCCGCCGCGGGCCGCCGGCTCGAGGCAGGCCGCTCGCGCGAGGCCTTGATCACGCCGCCGCCGGACGGAGCGCCCGTGCCGCCCCGCAGTGTCTCGCCGTTCAAGGCCGAGAATCCCGCCAACGCACCCCGCTTGGCGCCGACCGCCGCCTCCTCGCGCTCAGCGGTGACCTGGAGCGTCGCGTTGCGCAGCCGCTCCCGCACGCGGTGCAGCAGGCCGTTCGCGAGCTCGGGACGGATCGACGCGAGACTCCGGCTCTTCTTCAGGAAGGCACCTTCTGCCTCCGCATCGCTCGAATAGTCCCGCAGCGCCGATAGGCCAAACCCGACGAACTTCCGCCCCAACGTCCGGTTCGTCCCGGGCAGCTGCAACGCCCGCGCCAGCTCAGTCGCGATATCCTCCGCCAACGCCTGCGACCGCGTGGTCTTCGTGAGCGATAAAATCTGGAGGACACTAGGACACTGGCCAACGCTAGGTCCGATGTTACCCTCTCGTAGGCTCGCCGCAGCTCGAGTTGATTCATCGCGAGGTGACTCTGGCGATGGGTTTGAGGGGGACACCGCACAGCCCATGCGATGTGGAGGATTGCTACTGTATAGCTAGAAGTGGCTCGCTCTTCTCGCTGTTCTCCTAGTTATTTGCTATTTCTTATGGATATTAGATCTTGGTATCTCCCTGCTTTCCCTCTTCTCTTGTTACTTTCCTGGTACGTCGGTGCGTGTGGCGGTGTTGGTGTTGGTTACTTGCCGGGGTTGCCCTAAACTCCAAGTACCCAATTTAGTGAAGGGTAGCCTAGCTAATTCCCTTTACTAAGTTAAGTTAGTTCTAGCACCCACTGCCCTTAGCATACACAGAACGAACCGCTCATTATTCGGGATTCGGACAAATGATAATGAGGGGGTTGAACGGTGGTCGAACGATATCTGACGCTGCGTTCGGCATTTTCCGGGCCGCTGCCACGGTGGAAGAAACTGAGAGCACCGTGACTTGGAGATTTGCATAGACACGCTTCCGCGGACCGCGCGTGGTGTGGGAAGCACACCGGAATGTGCCGGCACAAGCCGGATTCGACTGTGCCGGCACACCCCGGGGAGGCCGTCCCTGCGCCGGCGCGGCTACCAGCACAGCGAGCTCGCTTGCTTTCCACCCGGGGAGGGTAGCAAAGTTCCAGTGAAGTGTTTTGGAGCACAAAGTGTAAGTGTTTAGGGGGGAGAGGCAAGTGTTGGCAAGTGTTTCAACGGCCAAAAAAAGGCGAAAAAAACGAGAATTACCACCAAATATCGAACCAGCAACTGTTCCGTCGCGCTGACGGAATAGTCTACGAGTGTTTCGTGAGATCTAGTTAGTGTTTGTAACACTTAGTTACAGCTTTGCTACCCACCCCGTTTCCACCCTGCTATCTCTTTAAATGGACAAGTCGAAAGCCCAGTGCAAGGAAGTATCTTGCCTGCACGGTTTTACCCGGGTGAATGGCGTCTGGGCTGCGCGATGCTATCGATGAAAAGCTTCTACGGGAGAAGACGCTGGCGGGCTGTGTGGGTAAGCTGTTCCAATTCGTGCCGCCTCATTTGGTGCCCGTGGACCAGCAGTTTGCCAAGGCCAGCATCATCCTGGATCGGATGTGCTTCCACATGCTCACTCAGCGGCTCCTGGGACGGACAGTATCTCAAAAGCAGAGCGACGACCTTTTTGATGAGTTAGACTCGGACGCGACGGGCTTTCTCTCGCTAGCCGAAATGGCACGCCGGCTGCAGCGTGGCACGGCCGCACCCACCGGTGAGGAGCAAAAACCGAAGCACAAGTCGACGAGGCCCACCGTCTCAGACTTAGAAGTCGGCGCCATGCATCAGCAACTGCAAGCTAAGCTCGCGGCACTCGTAACGCGAGACAAGGCCTTGGTGTCTCAGATCGTGATGCTCTTCGAACGAGCGGGAAAAGCGGGGGAGATCACGCACCGTCGCGGCAAGATGCAGGTCCTGAACATGGGCGAGTTTCACCACCTACTGCTACGTATGCTGCACATTCCCGTGTCGCGCGAGGTCAG